TTTTATTTTTTGAACCCATAAAGAGACCATCAAGATTCACATACTGCATTTTCATCTTATGTCTTTGTGTTTAGGGGACAGTCCTTTCGAATTTTTTTTCTCCTTCTCATGACACTGACTTTTTAAAGAACACAGGCCAGTTGTCTCGTGGAATTTCCCAACATTCTGTATTTAGGTCACTTGACTTGTTCATCTAGGCCTAGGCTCTCCATCCTAAAAACTGTGGCAGTATCTGGAATATTCACTTGCTTTCTAGCTCCTTTCCCATCCCCAGAGCTCACCTGCCTTCAACCGTGAGGAACACCGAGAGATCAGAGATTAGCTGAACTCAGCTTTAACCCATCAAAGAAACTGCAAGCTTCAGGAAGAAAAGTTATTTAAATGATACTGCCAAAGCAAAGGCTTTTAAGGTCAGAGGAAAGGTGTCCCGGTTTAAGGCTGATTTCCTAGCAAGTGCTGGGCCTGCAGCAAGTGGATCCTTGCAGAGAGCTTGAAATGGCCAAGGTCTGCTATTGTTGTGCGAGTATGTAGGAATGCTCATCAAAGGTGCTTCCTTTAACTACTTTTTTCTTTTGTCTCCCAAATTCCCTTCAGCTTCTGTTGAGCTAAATGCTAAACCGAAAGAACAAAAAAAAGTGTATCATCTCAGCTTTTACCAGTCCACATTAACAAATTAACATGTGTGCTGTACACAGCCAAGAGATGTAAGCAAGCCTCGGAGGGGCAATAATCTGCAGAAGAACATTTGTATCTGCACTTCAAGGATGGTTTATAAACACAGGCTATTCTGGACCAACACCCCCCTAGAAATACAGACTTAAATAAACAAAAGTTCGCCCAGGCTGAGGTGGTATTCTTCTGCAGGCCAAGTGTTTTTAAAAACATGATTGGCCAGTTAAGAAGTTTATCCGCCTGGTGCCTCAAATTCTCAAACAGTTTATTTGAATACCGTGTGAATGGCTAATCTCCTACCAGTTTGGGGGCTTTAACAAGGTCAACAAATGGGTGGGCTGTGAAAGTAAACGCTGCTTTTCCTCCCAGTGTCATCCTCATCTCCAAAATTTCGCTCCCTCTCCCCCTTCACTCGCCCTAGCCTTCCCCTTCCTAAGCTTGGTCTCTTGTACCCCGTAAAAGTACTGAAATTGCCAAGGAGACATTTTTAATTAGAAGTACTACAGTAATGAATTCAAGTACACTCGTTTATCATAAAGGGCTTTCCCATCTGTCTCTAAAGTATACTTAAAAAGGCTGTGTATTTGATAACATTAGCACCAAGCATCTTCCACATGTTAATGTTCAGCATTTTAGATGTTCACTCCCCCCACACCCCCAAAGACAGCGTGGTGGTGGTTCCAAAAAGAGCACATTTATCTCTGTGTTTGGGAGTGCCTGTGTGGTCTCTTCCTAATTTATTTGCACTCCAGTCCTCAGGGATAGCATCGCAATCCCCCTAGGCAAAAAGAGATTAGGGAACTGGGCTGTCTGCTTCTCCCCACCCTGACAGAGAAGGGAAAACAACTTCCCCAAGTCCCACAAGTTCTCTGGCCACTGTACAAATTGTTCTTGAGCATGGAGGGTTTCCAAAAGCCCTAATTAGCAACTCACAGCAAACATTTCTTTGCATTAGCTAATGATCCGGCTACACTTGTAAGCAAACAGAACCAACATATCTAATCAATGCTGAAAAACCAACCAAATGCCTATTAAACATCTGGATGTAATTTTCTAGTTAGAACAAAATGAAAACATATGCAGGTTCCTTTGATCTGCATCTTAACAAAGAAATTGTTGATAAAAAAGCATACTGGTCAGTCAATGTGTCATTTTCATAAAGTCTGCTCGTTTCTCTTCAAATGCTCCCAGTTTAATTTAGTTGGTTTCCTGCAATCTCTAATTTTACCATATTGTGTGAAACCACAAGAGATTCTTTGGATGTGATTTTATTTGAGGTTTTACTGCTGCATGGATCTGCTACTGATTTTTCTTTTCCTTCTCTGCTTTCTTCCCTCCACCCCTCACCCCCCACGCCCATCCTGCCCTTTTCTTTGGTAAAGTGGTGAGGGAAAAAAGGTGATAAAGCAATGCTGGAGAGATTTATTCTGGACCCTGCATTTCCTAGGTTTAAGAAAACTCCGTTTAAAAGAAGAAGTCAACTGAAGAAATGGATAAGTAATAAGGTAAAAGAAAGAGAAAATGACAAAAGTGATCTTTTAAAAATGTGTATAATTATTTCAAACAAAAGAGTAATAGCTTTAAAAGATGCATTAATTTCTATGACCAGCATTCATAATTTTTCTATTGTGTCTAGTACCTATACCATAGAAAGCATCTAGGTTTTGTAATTACTCATGCTATTGGTGAGTTGAAAATTTGATAACTCAGCAACAAATGAATGGAAATACACCCATATATGCATCCATGATAAACAATCTAGCAATCTTTGTTTCTTTTGCAGAGGATAAAGAGGGAACTTTTTTTCAGAGACAATTTCCTATGGAAGTGGAGTACTAATATTATTTCATGTAAAAACATCATCAACATATGAATACGTTAAAGGTAAAGAAGATTATGGTTAACAGACTTTAAATAGAAGACCAAAATTATAGATTTCATGAGTAGGACTATTTTCCTTTAAGCAGGCTGTAGGCAATCTGCACATATATTATTTATTTAAAACATAAGATTAAAGCTACTTGATTGTTTAAACACCATCATTTGTAATGCAGTTTGATGAGAGTTTTGTAGTATAATTATTACAGCATGACAATCACAGAGAAAACATGACCTTGAAAAGGGACCCAGCCTCCTCTCTCAAGGAGGATGCACTGTCAGAGAAAGAAGCCATGGGAAACCGACCATCTTTATGCACACAATTAAAGGCCTTCCAATTTTACAATCATCACTCTTTCTTTTCTCCACATACTACATCGTAAGGAAATCAGAAGGCCTGGTCTTTCAAACTCCACTTGTAAAGAAACACTACTTACAAGAGAACTTCTAATTTTTACCCATGGCAAACTAGGAAATATGATGAGTAGACGTTTGCTGTAAATAGTTATATTAGAGAACATTTAAAGACAATGTGTTAGAACAATTTTGAAGAGGATGAGGAGAGGAGAGAAAAAGAGAAGGAACACTTTTGTTCCTGTTTTAACTTATCTCTTTAAACTTAACCACCAGCATATGCCAGTAAATCAAAGTAAAGCTTGGGTAAGCCAGGGAGAAGCCACAGTTGCCCTAGTTGTCCCAGCAGGCACAGGCAGATTTGTGGCATCTAAGCACTTTCTACACAATCCTGGAGCACAGACTGGTAGAGGTGGCCCAGTCACTAGATGATTTCAAGGAACACAAGTTGTCAAAGGACAAAGCTTAGTTGCACATGATCCTATGATTCAGTCCTGTACCTGGAGTGAGTTGGCTCTCATCATCACCAAATTTAATCAAGGAAAGGGGCAGTGCTTCCTTCCTATTCATTTTCCATGTCTGCAGAATGAATCATAGAACCCCCTACCCAACCCCTCTAAACGAGAACACTGCAAAGCCACAATGCTGACCTTGTTTGAGAATTACTACCGCCGTGTAGTAAAATTGCTCCTTTAATTTTTCATTTATAATTGATATTTGGGATTGATCCAATTATAGGCAAATCAATATCATAATATTTAAGAACTCCACCTGTGAAATGAATTATCTAAAATGATTCTTTTAATATTTCAAGAAAAAGGTATCTGTAAAAGCAAATCTTCGAATAAAATGTATTTCTGTTTAAACAAATACCTTTCCTGGAACTCTCTTGGAAGTATAATAATGGGAAACTGAGGACTATTGACACCAAAAAGTACGTTCCAACATTAAGATGAATGCTTGTCAAAGATGTGTCTTTCTCATGGAAGAATTCACCACCATTTGGCTAAAATAGCATATTCACTTACCAATCCTGTGGAAACAGCTCAACTGAACTGCTCTTTAGAGTATGAATGTGGCAACATTGAAGGCTTTTTGCTGTATGATGTATTTAGAATAATAGACATAAACTGGAGATTTACGCAGTATGCTCCGTGTATTTAAAATCTCAAAACCCTTTTTAAGTTCCATCTTATGAAAATTTTAGCCACGTCATTTACCCAGCGCTTCCCTTACACAGCTCATTAACACGGCTCCTTAACGGGGAGTACCATCCGAACTATGGGGGTGGGGTGGCCAGGACAGGTTTTTCAGGTCTCAATGTTGGTTTATCCCATTGTCTCCCTTTGTTTCCAGTAATTGGAAACAGACTCGTGGTCATGTTGCTGCGAGGCCCCTGAAACTCTGAACAGCCCCCCTACCTCCCAGCACAGCGAAATAGGGACTTTTGAGAAGGACCCGGGATTTCGCGCCGCAGGCAAAAACATCGCGTCTGCGACTGGGACGCGCGTGCCTTACTCTGGCGGCACCTTGGATATCCTTCCCGCCAAACCAAGGCAGGCCGATCTTTCTGCAAAGTAGTTTGAAATCCTAAAATAAAAACCAATTGGGTGCAAAATGGGCGTGGACATTAAAAGCTTAATCTTAGGCCAATAGTGTACTACGCCAGCCAATGGTTGCCCACTTATGCATTCCCTACTAAGTGCACAGTTCACTCCTTCTCGCATATCCGCGAAAAGGCAGCTCAAGGAAAAACAATCCTCAGAGAAATTTCTGAATGTGACCTCACTTTCAAGAGTAGCATCAAACAAGGGGCCAGCACCGAAAGACGCGTTTGACTCAAACTACCAAAAAGCACCCCTTCTCCCTCATAAGAAACTACGCGGCTAGTCTCTGAGGTACTTTCACTGAGATCTGAGGATTTTCACTCAAGAGAAAAGTGAACAAGTGACAGGATTTTTGCAAACTCAAGCCCCCAGCTTCGGCGGCTGCACGCTCGAGGGTCCCTCTCGCTCGCGCGCTCCCGCGGGCTCCCTCCCCTTGCCCCACGTTACTTTGATTGACAGCCCGGCCCCGCCGCTCTCCTTCCCACCGACCTTCCCATCCACGGTGCCAATCTCCGCGTCTCGCCGCTTCCCATTGGCTAGTTTCGGCGTCCCGCGGCTCCTCCAAGAACAGTTCCTCACCGAGCCCGGGAGGACGCGGCTGGCGGAGGAGGGATGGGGGTGGGTGGGAGGGGAGACGGGGGAGACGGCGGAGATGGAAGCGAGTGAGGTGGGAGAGGAGGGGAGTGAGAGAGAGAGAGAGAGAGAAAGAGAGAGACACGGCGATCCGGAGGCGCGCTGCCATAGGCTCTGGGGAGGCGCCGCGTAAGCACCCCACGTTGGGCGCGCCGCACGCAATTGGCTGACGCGGGCCTCTCGGCTTCCCCCTCCGCCCTACAGGGCCCACGTCCCCCGCCGGCTCCGCGCTCGCGGCCCCCGCCCGCACAGGGCTGGGCGGGGCCGGCGCTGGTTAGCTCCGGAGTGTGAAACCGCGTGTTAATGTAACCGGCGCGAGAGGCGCGGGCGGCGGCGGCGGCGGCGGGAGCGGCGGCTGCAGGAGCAGCAGCAGCGGCGGCGGCGGGTACCCTGTGCCCCGCGTCCCTGAAGCAGCCG